ATGTCACGGATGTATCAGTTGGTTAACAAATTAACACACAAATCTGTTCAGCACTGTAGATTTTTGTCAAAATGTCCTTCCCAGGTTTTCTACGCTTGACATGTGACCACCTGTTTCACCTGCTAGAATATTTGAAAGACCAGGTTATAAAGGCACCTGTTCCCTATGCCAACAAATGTATGTTCATCTCATGTGAGTGGCAGGTTATCATTAAAAAACAATGCACAGTCACACACTTGTCTCATTTCCACATGAGAGAGATTCCAACACACAGGAAGATCTGGATTGGCTAGGAAGATGGGGTGTCAGCCCCAGTCTTACTTTTGACATTTCATTGCTCTTTGGGAATGCTGGCAATGGCCCACTGTGGTTTGAATCACCACCTTTGCAGGACGATAGGCAGATAGGAAATTGTTCCTAGCTTTGGCATATTAAAGTCTAAGTTGCTAGTGATTTTTGAGAAACATCATGAACTATAATCAAAGCAGCATGTGGGAACTCCAGAAGTCTTCAGCTGCTGTTTGTTGCTTATGATTAAGGCACACCAGCCCTGCCTGCTCCACTTCGCAACTTCTATGCTAAACTCTTTTTGGATCTTGAGTTTCTTGGGTTGACGTCCCCATTAGAAGAAATGCACGAAGGGGCCAGCTCTGTGTCTCTGTGCTCACCATCAAGTAGTCTCAAGCTGATGTACAAAGGAAACTGGTTCAATTTATAATCTGCCTGGTAAGTCTACCCACCAGTTAATAACTTAGATCTTAGGAAAGCTTTCTTAAGAAAAATAAAGATCAGAGTGTAGAATGGTCTACACTCTTGTCATTTGCAGGAAATGCTGTTACAACACGTGAACTTCAAATGCTAAGAACCACAGCTTTGCAAACTACTCATTCTGCCGCCTCACCTCTATCACCAGCGCTGTATCTGTACATAGGACTACTGATAACCAAGGTAAAGCCAAACACCCCAATTTGATGGTAAGATTTGACACTCTAGCAAGTACCCTGCCCCCACAAAGTTGTCATTTCTTCTCCTGAAGTTACTTTTAAAATTTCAAGCCAGGCATATCCCCTTCCCTTCCCAAAGAGCATCTCTGTATAACACAAAGCGGACAAAACACCCTCTGAGCAAACATTAAGACACTTAATATCTCACGATATCTCAAGGCCTACTCTCCCTGTACTTAGCAGGTATGAGAGCCTCAAAACAACTATCAGGCCTGAATCACTCAGGATGAAGGGAAAACTGCACTTAGTTTAAGGTGCCACCTGCTATCTCGATTAACTCCTCTAGCGAAGTTGGCATATTTAACTCATTGATATTAGCAGTGTGTAGGGTTTTGATTGCAACGACTTAGCAAAGAGACATTGGTTAAGAGTGTGTGGGGGGGCACAATGTAAATGAGCCAGTTTTCACATACAAAGTCAGATTCGCTTAGAACTAGGTTACACTATGCCTGAGATCCTCAGACTGTCCCTTTTTTAACCAGCGGGGGAAAACTCTCTTGGATTATCCTGGTCAATAAATAAATCTCAGCCATAATCTCAAAAGAAAGATTTTTTGACTGTTTTTCTTGAAAATTGTCTGCTGTGCTGTGGCCTGAATGTTGTCTGGAGATTAGTACAAGTTAGAAGAGAACAAACTAAGCAAATTTGAACATCTCACCTAACAAGTGAAGGGCAGCTGTATTAATTGACAGTGAGATACCCTCATCAGGCAGGTACATTTCAGGCCTATCCAAGCCCTGTTATGTGCTTAATTTCTCAGCTCAGGCTGATGGCTCTCCAAGTCAAGGTCAAGTGAAGCGAATCAGGACCTGAGGCGGGAACTGCCCGATCTTGATCTCATTCCAATCTTTAAGAACAACTTCGTTTGTACTCTGTGAGGGATTAGAAAATATTTACTATGCATATTCTCTTCCTGTGCTGTTTGGTGAGTTTTGGGTCAAAGCCTGAAGCCAGATGGCTGAGGTCTTATCATGCCCTTGACCTCAAGGCTATGATTTCAGGCACTTGGTTTAACTGGTCTTGCATTATTCTTGGAACAGAAGGGGCTCACAACAGCTCTTCACCTCATCCAGAACTATTACAAAAAGTACTCTGGTGAAATCCTGTCTATGGCTATTCAATTTTATAGAAAGCAGAAGCATGTGGATCAGGCATGCATTTGTTTTAAAGGTAGAGGCGGCCACCTTTGAAAGCGTTGCTCTGTGTTTACAAATACAGTTTGTTACCCTCAAGTCCTCACAAGTGCCAGCTTCGCTGAAGCTGGTCCTTATATAAAAGTCGTCATTATCTGGAGACTCGATCATCAGCACGGCACCAGCAATGTTGGTAAGAGGATGATTTGATGAACACAGCTGTTCCAGGCTTCAGAAAACTCTCTGCCCATGAATGTTTGACATGACCCTATTTTGAAAAGAAGGCCTTTGCCTACATTCTCTTTCTTGGTCACAGATGAGGACTACTACTGTCCCTATTTTCTCTTGGTGTTATCTGGCAAGACAAGAGTATTTCCTGGTCTTCTGAGTGCCTATCTTCAATTTTCCTGGTCTTGCTGTTTAGGTCAACCCATTCCAACAATAAGGGAAGTGTCTACTCTTTAAATAATTGCTAGTCACATCTGAACAGCTCTGATAGAGCTCTGGTCTTCTAGACTCTGGCCTGGAGGACTATATGGCACCAGGATCTTAATCCATATTACACTGGAGGAAAAGGTCCTAGGGCCCCAGGTACTCTGTCATCAGCCACTATGGCTTCTCTTGTTAGCCTCAGTGAAGTTCCTTGCAGGAACTTGATGCACACCTGCCCTGTGTCAGGTAGTTTGGAGCAGCCTCTGAGTGAGTATTGGGGGGCAGGGGGGAGGGTTGGAGGGAAAGATTAAGCATCATAGAAGACCAGGATCAGAAAATCAGTCCACATGCCTAGGACTTTGAACTTAAGATTGGGGCAGTCTGGGTTGGCTTGGGGTCAGTATGTTTCCTCTAACTCCAAATTTGCTCCGGTTCAGAAAGAACTGTTGTCCTTCTTCTGACAATCTAGGTTTGCACAGGGTTTTCTCTTCCACTTTTCACCACACTGTCATACTCCACACGTGGTAAAAGAGGAGCAAAGGGAATCCTCACCTTCCCAAAACAAACTGAACTCCTGGCTTTGACTAGATCATTGTAACAGTCTGGGTGCATCCCTAACACTTTATAGGAAACAGTCCCTCATGGAAAGTTAGTACTTTTTAAATTCTAAGAAGAGGAGAAGCCATGTAGCTGATCTGACTCTTTTCTCCCACCTCCCTGGATCACAGTCAGTAATTTTTCTACTTTTGTGTTTTGAAACATTGCAAAATATATAAGGCAAGTCATGTCACTCCTCTGAGAGATGGTTTAATAAGTCAGCATTACTCATCCGTTAATGATTAATGCCAACATCTGAAAATTCCTGTAAGCAAGGCTGTACTGGGCTCGAAGGTTTGTCACACATTGGGTTCTACCATCACTGCCTCACTACACACCGGCCCTTTCCAGAGTGCAGGCAGGAGAAAGCAGGAGAGGGAACAGCCCTTCTGAGCCTGTCTGGTCTTTCACTTTCCCTTAAAGATAACACTGCTCAGGCTGTTAAATTAAGTCCGCGAAGCCTCGTGACCAACCAAATCGCAATGGGCCGCCAACCAATCGCGTGGAGCAGGAAAAGCCCGGCCCAGCTTCACACACTCAGGACAGCGGAACCACCCGGCCAGGGGCTCTGGAGTCTTCAGCCCTCCAGCCTCACGCGACCGGCGGCTAGACCACACACTTGTAAGTTCCATCTCACTCCAGGACACACGTGACTGCACGCAGTCCTTCTAAGCCACCGGCGACAGGAGGTGGGACTGTGGTATATTTAGGGCTGGGACAGCGCTCTGCCCTAATTATCTAGAGCTGGTTGGCAAGCAATCCTTTTGGTGTCATGTCTTAAGACCACTTTTGGGTCCTGCCAGGACTCTAACCAGACCGCGTTGAGAAGCGTCTTTTCGTCTGCTCAGGAAAGTTGTACGACCAAAGTGAGAGGTGGCTGAAGACCCGTTGAGCTCCAGGACGGCCGACCCTGGGGACTCCACTATAGTCACCTCCCACCCTTCCCAAGCCACAGCTACACACCAGCTCTATTGCTTCGGTCTATTGTGAAGAACGAAGGCTAATTACAGTCTCTAGGTTAGGACTCAGTTTCTCTGGGGCAAGTGTCACCAGTAACAAGGCTCTGCAAACTAACCTGATTGTCTGTCCCACTCCCCTCCCCCGTTCAGCTATCTGGGAAACCCAGAGGTTTGCAGACGCCGCGTTGGCCGTGACAAGGGGGAAGGAGAAAAGGAGAAAAGCCACACTCCTGTCCCCTGCGAGCCCGAGCCAGGAGACCGCGGGGCGCCGGGGGAGTCTCAGTCCGGGTGCGCAGGCTGCGCACTTCTCATGGCTCCGCCGAGCCTCCAGCTGCCGCCCACCCAACGTGCGCCTGCTCACGGCGGCGCGAGGACTCCCGGCCCGGCGGGCACCGGGCGCCCCGTGCCCTCAGGGACACCCACCTGCACCCACAGTCCGCTCTCACCCGCTCACGTCGGAGGGGCGCACCCCGGGCTGCCAGGCCCGGCGCTCTGCCTCTTCCCGACAGCCCGCCCGGCAGAGGCGACAGAACCATTGTTCAGTGGCTCCGAAGCCCACGTCCCCCAGCCTTGTCAAGGGGGTGAAAAACGAAGTAGAGAGGAGGGGGAGGGGAGGAGGGACACAGGGACAGGAAGACTAGCTCCAGCGAGCCTTTAGGACACCCCAAACCCCACTGTCCCCCGGCCCGGCTGCCTGCAGCCGCGGAGCTGACAGCTCAGAGGCGCCACCAGGGCGGGGAGGGGAGGCAGGAGCCCGGCGCGGAGAGGCGCCTCCTCTGAGGGAGTGGGTAAGGGGAGCCCGGGGCCCCCCAAAGCGCCGCGATCGCCGGCACCCCGGCTACCGGCCGCGTGCGGAGGGGCGCGTCCCCACTCACCGCTTGCAGAGGCGCGGGCGTCCCGGGGCGCCCAGCACAGCGCGAGCAGAAGCCACAGCGCCCAGCGCGCGGACGTGCCCATGCTGCCCGCCCGGATGGTGCCGCCGCCGCCGCCGCCTTTCGCTCCGCACAACAAGTTACCAGCCCTTCGGAGAGGAGGAAGGAGGTGGGGGCGGGGAGGGGGGAGGCGAGG